AAAAAAAAAAAAAAAGTAATGGATTTCAATCGTAGATCTCAATGTGAAACGTAAGATAATAAAGCTTTCAGAATAATACAGACTATTTCTTTGTGCAGACAACTGACACACCGCACTTCATTAAACTAAGAACCGCTGCTCACCAAGACACCACTAAGCAACTGAACAGGTGACAGCAGGTGAGAGATGTCTGCCACAAACAGCCCCCCAGAGGACTTGCACCCCGGGCGTGTGAAGAACCTGCCATACCCGTATGGAAAATCAACCACCCGACAGAAAAGCGCAGGCACCAGAACAGGCAGTGGACAACCAACGCGCGAGCTGTCAGGTCACCAGGACGCTGCTCTGGGCAGGACGCCGGGGTGGTGCAAGGTCACACGGCACTGCGGGGCCTTCTCTGGAGCAGTGTGGCCCGGCCACTCCAGGTATGACCAACAGAGGTGGCACACAGGTCACAGAAGCACCGCCTCACGTCCAGGGGCAACTGGGTCCGGAAGGGGCTCAGTCCCCAGTGGAGCACAAACCCAGCCGTACCCGCGGCAGCAGGGCGCAGCTCGGGACAGACATGAAGGGAAGGAGCCGTGAGCTAGAAAGCACGCGCTGGCGGTCCCATTTATAGGAAGACGGCAGAAGGGACAAGCAAATCCAGGGCGTCCGAGACAGACGGGGCCAGGGGCCCACCTGGGCGTCCACCGCCAACGTGGGTCTGCCGTGGCTGCACTCTCCGTATCACGCTGTCAATGGTTTTGTTAATGACACGGGTAGACTTGGAAGACACTCAGAGTGGGAGAGGACCCAGGGACTCCGAGAAGATGAGAGAGCCGCCTCCACTCCAGTTCTCATGTCACTGTCTGTATCCCGTAGCAGGGGAGCGAGGCAGCCCAGGGAACCCTCGGTCTAGGTCCAGAACTCACACTCTCAGCCTTCGAAGGAGGCCAGAGGACACCCGCAGGCTGGCTGGGGCACAGCTGAGGATGGGAGGGGACTGCCAGCCAGCCAAGGCCATGCCAGCTGTAGGGAGGGTCCCTTGTCCCTGTTTAGCCACAGGACACTGAGGCCAGTCCTGAGCACCCCACACCCCACCTGGGCCCCACCCCACCCCAACCCAACACTCTGCATCCAGAGCCAGTTGAAGAGACACCCTGGCCCAGGTAAGGCTGCAGGTGGGCACTGAGCGGCAGCCTGGGACAGGCGGCAGCCTGGCTGTGGCCCCACTCCCGCTCTGGCTCCAGGGCTGGGTGTCCACAGCCAACCAAGCTCCACAGGTCGTCCCTGGACCAAGGCCCCACTCCGAAGCCCGTGTCCAGCACGGGGGCTCTGCCTGCAGGGCTGCGCTGCTGGTCTGCGCCTGAGGGTCTTAACATCTGAGTCCCGTAGATTCTCAGGGGCACCAACCTCGAGGCCAGCCTGGTCAGGGCCACCAGAGCTTGCACAGAAGCAGGACGTTTTAAGAGCACAAGGCTTCCCTGCCCGGTGGCTGTTCAGGAACCTGCACCCCACGGCTGGGCTCTGCTGCTTCAGAGAAACCCTCATCAGTGCAGAGGGCTCTACTGCCAGGCCACACTGCCCCCACCCATGGCCAGTGGAGACCCGGCTAAGACGGGGCACTGGTGCCTGAGGCCAGGGAAGGCACAGGATGCAGGAGCCCCAGCAAGGACAGAGAGAAGCTGCCCGATATTCCCAAGACTCTTTGGTGCCAGCAGGCCCCAGACAGGGGGAGTGGCCCCGGGAGCGGCACCAGGGTGGCCAAGGATGATGGCCCACCACCCTGAATTCCCTGCAGTCCTTCTGCAGCCCTGTGGCCCGGCCGTCTGCATAGCCTCCCTCCATGTCACCAGCTGCCACAAGTGGCAGCCGGAGCAGCCCTTCCCTGCCCTATGGGCCGCACAGAGCCAGGAGTGACCCACGACCCAAGTACAATTGTCCTTGACAGAGCGGCGAGCCCAGGTCAGGGCCTGGAAGGGCACCCCCAGCTCTGCTCACTGCCTGATCCCAAGTCCAGCCTCCGCCGGCTTCAACTTTGTCTGAATGGCTGAGAGCGAATGAAACATGAAGCAAATAACTTGCACTCAGCTCCCGTGACAGCCAGCAGACTCCAGTCCCAAGGGCCGGGCCCCGGCTATTCCCACCAGTCCAAACACCGACCGTGTGCTCCCGAAGGCCAGGCGCTGGCGCTGCACCCCAAGCACAGTCAGCGACATCTGGCGCGTCCGAGTGGACGCTGTTCCTCTGGCCACCCAGCCCCATGGCCCCTCCCTGGTCACGGCCCTCGACTCTCCCCTGGGACCCTGCTGTGCCCACTGGGGCTGTCTGGGAGGGAGTCACCCCTCCTCCTCTTAGCTGGGTGAGCAGCTTGATGTCCTGCTGAACCACCACTGGGGGGCAGCTGTGCCAGCCTCCTGCTCCCTGCACCCTTGCAGTGGCCGCAGCTGCTGCCCAGGGAGCTCCTCAGAAGGTGCAGGCACAGCCGGGCTCAGCCTCCCCACTCCCAGCCTCCTCTGCACAGGGCCTCCCCTGCAGAGATGGCAGAGGTGGGGGAGGCTGACACAGTGGCCTCCTTGCTCCTTAGGGGCACAGACCCCACCCCTGCCAGGCTGCCCATCTCTGTCAGATCCACACACACCCTTCTCCCTACCAAGAGCCCACCAGAATTGGCCACAGCCAGGAGAACACGCTGAGCTGGGGCCTCTTCCCCGCCAGACACTCCTGCTTAGCAAGAGCAGAGCTTGTTACAGGCACCCACAGACCCAAACGAACAGGAGCAGACAGCCCCAACTGAAGGTCTCTCTAGCAGGGGACACCCCATCTGCCAAACCCTGAAGCTGGCCCAGCACTGAGGTGAAGGACTTTGGGCAGGAAGATACCCAGGCACCATGAGTTGGCGCTGTGGTCATTGTGCAGCCCAGGTGGCATCCCCCAATCCCTGAGCCCAGCCTTCCAACCGAAGCCGGCTCTGCCCAACCCAGCCACCACACCTGCCCAGCCTGGTGGCCTATGGCCCACTGGCCGCATGCTGCTGGACCTTTCCAAAAAGACATGGCCAGGGCACCAAGCCCAAGAGCCTGTGCTCAGCAGGGTCTTTGGGAAATTGGGACCAAGCCTTAGCTGGCAACCACTCCACTGGGTGGCAGGTGGTCGGCCTGTAACAGAGGGACCTGCCCCTCTGACCAACATCCGTCTGCAGTCACACCTGGCATTTTTAGCAGAGCCAGACAGTTCTTGAGGCCCAGCTGGCAAACTGCCCCCCTCCCAGGGGCTCTCCAGAGTTGGGGCACAGTGGGGCAGACTGCAGGGAGGGCTTCCTCCCCGACCTTGCCTCTCATGCTGCCCAGGCTGCACGAGGGAAGCGCCCAAAGGAGCCCAGTGCACCCGGCCACTCCACGTTCTTGCCACAGCACACAGGTGCAGCCTGGCGGCGCCCAGCCCAGGAGCCTCCTTGTTGCCTCCCCTCCAGGACCCTTTCCCCGGGTGTTTCGGGGTCTGTCCTCGGCTCCACCACTCCCTCTGCCCTCCCTGCCTGGTCTTTGTCACTGTCCCCCCAGGGCCCAGCACCTGCCCTCAGGCTCCTGGCGCCCCGGCCTCGGGGCCCACTGCCTTAGCCCTCCAGGGGCATGGAGGGCGGAGTGGAGCCGGGAGGCAACAGGGAGACCTGGGCAGCTGGGCACCCCCAGCTGGACTGAGCACTCGTTCCCTCCATCAGGGGGGTCTCCCTCACAGGGAGACAGATGGGGACAGAGTGTGACTGCTCAGGGGGCCTGAGGATCAGACTGGGCCTGCCCCGTCCCACTGTTCACAAGAGGGCTTAGGGGCTGTGGGGTCTCACAGGCAGCCTGGACATCCCAGGACGAAGCTTGCAGGCAGGAGAGTTCATCCCTGGGCTTCCCTGACCATCAGGCCCTCCTTGGGCCATGGGACAGGCACTTCCACACCCAGGATGGGGTATAGGTAAAACTGGCCCCCCCGAGGGCAGTGCCTGCAGGCTTGAGGATGGCAGGCCATGGGGCCTGCTGTGCCCCATCCTCTGGGCAAGTCCAGGAGTGGCCTGGATGCCTGGACTGCACTCTGAGCCTGAGCTGGCCATACTGCAGCCCTCAGGTGAGTACAGGCCTAGAGGCAATGAAGTGAGGAATACCTGATGGGGGCCGGGAGCTGTCCTGGACCAACGAGACTGCCAGGGACAGTGCTGCCCCCAGACTCTCACCACTGCCTCCCCCCAGGACCTGCCAAGCCTCCTGACGACTGCCCTGTGCCATCCCTTCCTGGAGAGCAGGAGCCTCCGAGCCACCTGCTCCTACCTTCCTGTTCTCACCCCACAAGGCTCCGGGCACAGAAGAAGGCACCTGTGAGCCCTGGGCACCCTGCAGAATGGGCTCCCCGTACCTGCCCACGCTGGCTAGCTCAAGGCCGGAGGCTGCAGAGGAAAGTGCAAATGTCACTGCCAGCCCAGACCCAAGTGTCCCAGAAACACCGAAGGCAGAGACAACCCACGGCCACGCAACAGCTGGGACCCAGCGTGCACGGAAGGCTCCAGGAAGAGCTGCAGCCACCACACCCCAGCTGTGCACGTGGCCCTATTTCCAAATCCACAGAAACAGGTGCCAATCTGTTCCCTGCTATCCCTCTGGTAAACATACAGCCAAGGCTTCACACGTAGATGCTGCACGCTGCCACGAAACACCTGGTCGCTCACGCCCGCTGCCGTCTCAGTGGGAAATTCACCCGGAGTTACCTACCTTTATTTCCTTGCCACAGAGGCTGGACTCTGCTGTCTGCCCCAGAGCTTACAGGCCCTGCTGCTGGCTGGCAAAGGAACCCCCTCAGAGGCTACTGCTAGCCACATTTAAAACGACGGTGAGGCGGTCAGAGCATGAAGACTCGGGCGACAAATGTGCTTTAGCAAAATCAGAACTTACCTCAGAGCACACACCAGCCTGGAGCCGGCATCCAGGGCTTTAGTTGCTATTCCTGGGTCACAAATTCACTCAGCCACCAGACTTTCCTGTTGGACACTAGAAGCCATTGCCGACACAGAGCACAGCAGACAGAACAGGCAGCCCGTGAGCCGGTCTGGGGAAAGACGGTTTTAAAAGGCAGTTTTACACATCAGCATTGACCATCCTAACCACACCAGTAGACACTGGATCTGTTCTCTTGCCGACTAGCTTCTCTTTTCACAAAAAAATGTGAGCTTTTAGGGGGCAGAAGTATTTCCAAACCATAAATCCAGACAGCGTAGGAGTAAGGTATTCCCTTATTTATGGGTACTTTATTGGAAAAGCTTTAAATAGCCACAAAAACCAAATCATATTTAGCTAAGAAGTTAGTAAATGGACTTTATTCAGAAGAAGAAGGTTACAGAAGACTGAGGCGGCACAGGACACAGGGCTCCCTTCTCCTTGCACTTCTGGCTGTGCCTAGTGACACTGCGGAAGTGACACTGTGTGTGGCACAATCAACTAGCAAAACAACCGGTGAATCACAGGCCCCTTCCAAGTGGCAGCTCCAGCTAAGATGCAAGTGGACATCCTGGGTGCCCAGGGAGGTCAGGTCTACTGGGGAGTGAGGTGCAGCCCTGAGACAGAGGCCAGGACACCCAACTTGTCTACCATGGAGACACCTGCTGGGGGAAAGCCCCCACAAGGAACAAGGCTATCATCACCTCAAATTTTGGCCATCCAGACAGAGACCCTCAGGCATCCAGCAGACTGCGGTGTCAGCCCCCAACCCATGCCCTGAGCTGACCTTGAACAGGAGAGCGACAAGACACTCAGATACTTGTCGCATCCGGAGCAACAGGCCTGGGTGGTATGGGGGGAGAGGGGACCTCCCAGGAAGGGCCAGGCTTGCCAGGGCCCCTGCGCTGGGGCCGTCCTGTCCCCAGGCCCACGTACCCATCAGGAGCCTGTCTGGCACCTTCGCTTTTCCTAGATTGGCTCTGAACTCTGAGGGGTGAGGCAGTTTTATTTATCACTCCTCCTGCCCACACACATGCAGGCTCAGACGCAAACGCAAGCCCTCTGACCCCGCGTCAGAACGAACCCACAGGGTGAGACACCAAATGCAAAGCAGCAGGCAGCAAACTGGTCAGAGCTCACCTGTCCGGCCGTCCGGTCGCCCGCCCGCCCGCCCTAGGCCCTCCGGGACCCGCCGCGGCCGCGCTGCGCTTCGTGGCACAGCCCTGAGCCCTGCAGCCGTGGCGGCTGGGAGACTCCGGGACGCACGGTTAGCCCCGGGCCCGCGCTCCCGCACCCTGCGGCCGCGACCGCACACGTCAGGACCGCGGCCCCCGGCGAGGCTCCGGGGCGCGCGCGGGCACGAGCGGCCGGCCCCTGGGCGAGGGTCGGGGCGCCCGAGCCTGCGCCGCGCCCGCCCTGCTCACTGGGCGCCCGGCTGCTGGAGGCCGCGGGCCCCGCCGACCCTCCACGTGCCGGCAAGTTTCTGTCCCGCCCGCTCGGCCCGGAGGCGGGGCCCGAGGAGAGCCGAGGCCCGCGGCCGGTCACTCCGTCGGCTGTCCCGGAGCGCGCGCCCGCGCCGCGCAGGGCCTGCCGGGAATTGTGGTCCGCGGCCGCGGGGGCGCGCAGGGCGAACTTCCGGGAGGCCCCGCGGCGCGGGGAGGGGCCGTGCGTGGTGCAGGGACTGGAGGCGCCCTCGCGCTCGGAAAGGGAGCACCTTTCGGGGAAAGCACGGAGAGCCCGGGAGCAGCCACCCCGCCCGCACGCACCGTCGGCCGGGAGGCCGGCTCGCACAGCGCCAGCGGCCGGGCACGAGCCCAGGCCCGGCCCACTCGGGCTAGGGCGCGCAGCCACGCCCCGCGATGGGGCGGGACAATATCCGGAAGTGCGTCACGGGCGGGCGCCCGCACGCTGCCCGACGTGGCGCAGCTGGTTTCGGGGCGCCTGCGTGTCCAAGGGCGCATCCCGTCGCCGTGGAGACGATGGATCCGCCAGTGACGTCAGGCTCCGGGGAACTTTAGGGGCTTCCTGGGATGCAGAGCCCGGGCGTCGTCGCAGTCAACACCCGGCTCTACTCGTGGGGCCGAGCCGCGGTTCTGAGTCACGCAGCGCTGGCGGCACGGGGACAAGCAGCGGCTTCGGCCAGCTCTCCACGCCCCGCTTCCGGCCCCAGAGGCAAATGCTAGCTTCTGGCAATTTATATTTCCGTGGATTTCCCGCCCCACCCCTCAAATGGCCCTGGTACCTCCCCAGTGTGTCAACCTCAAAAGAAACTCAGAGGCCGGGCGCGGTGGCTCACGCATGTAATCCCAGCACTCTGGGAGGCCAAGGCGGGAGGATCGCTCGAGGCCAGGAGTTCAAGACCAGCCTGGGCAATGGCGAGATATTTATTTCTACTAAATATTTATTTCTACTAAACATAGAAAAATTAGCCGGGCGTGGTGGTGGCATCTGTGGTCCTGCCTACTCGAGAGGCTGAGGCAGGTGGATCACTCCGGTCAGGAAGTTGGAGGTTGGAGTGAGCTGTGATCATGCCATTGCACTCCAGCCGGGCTGACAGAGCAGAGACCATGTCTCAAAAGAAACAACAACAAAAAAAAAGCTCAGAGACGTGCTCTCCAGGACAAATAAATGAACTCACTTGGGAAAGCAGGAGTCTGCAACCTGTGACAGATAACAGGCATATCCGAGGGATGGGGCTGAAGGAAGGTTTTAAAGACAAAGATTCACGTAAGCTGTTTTGTAACAACAACCACTGGTTATAGGGGCTTGCTGCAGGAGTTCGCGAAGCTCACTGGCAGAGACAGTTGTTACTGGGCAGGTGTCCCTGGCAAGCTGCTTATCTGGAATAGTGCAGTCTTAAGGAATTTCCTTGCCACACTTCCTGTTAAGGGCAATGTGGTATTTATTGCAGGAATGTCTTGTAATAGGGCCTCCTACAAGAATTCCCATGAGAGCTTCTCCTTCATGGCCTCCACTCCGTTTTCTTAGAGTTTGAAATAAGCGGGCCCTTTCTGGTGCTGCCAGCTTTCACAACCGTTGTGGTTAAATGGACAGTCAAGGTTTATATTTTCATGACCAAGTACCTGCTGTTCACTGCTACTATATAAATCCATGCTGACATTCCTGAGCAGTCTTTTTTTCTCTTGAGTTAATAGTTACTTAGCATTTCCTTATGCCTGGCTTTTTACTAACCCATGCCTGACAATAACATTTTCCAAAGGCTCAGACTCACCCTATTTAATTCCTAGAGACCTCGCTCAGAGAGCCCTCTCTCCTGTTCCAGCCTAGACTGCTTGCTTTCTGAGCCTCCTGCACAGTGATCAGCTTGAGCCTTGCTTTCATCCTTGAAACTCTCTGCTTTTCTCATTTCATACAGTCCCTGTTTCCTGGAATCTGTGCCATTTCCTTCTAGCTTTACTCTCTCATTTTTCCGAAGTCCGTCTTCTGTTAACTTCCTGGAAAGGGTACATGTCTGAACACATTTTCATTCTCCTGTAGGGGCCCCCCAGCTCCCTGCTTGTTTTCTGTGTCCTAACCAAGAAACAAGTGCCTTGGCTGCTCTGTGACCTGGCCCATTAAATGTTTTTCCCTACAGGCTTGAGCCCAAGACAGAGCCTTGAACATTCCCAGGCAGTAATAAACTTGATTAGGTTATTGCCTGAAACCCTAAAATATGAAACACGTTGCTAAACACATTGAAACCAACTCCCAATCCTAAATCAAATTTCTTAATTCCTTGGCCAAGACCCCGTGTCCTTAAAAAAACAACAGGCCGGGTGTGGTGGCTCACGCCTCTAATCCTAGCACTCAAGGTCAGGAGATGGAAACCAGCCTGAGCAAGAGCGAGAACCCACCTCTAACTATAAATAGAAAGAAATTAATTGGACAACTAACATATATAGAAAAAATTAGCTGGGCATAGTGGTGCATGCCTGTCGTCCCAGCTACTTTGGAGGTTGAGGCAGGAGGATTGCTTGAGCCCAGTTTGAGGTTGCTGTGAGCTAGGCGGATGCCACTGCACTCACTCTAGCATGAGCAACAAAGCGAGAGTCTGTCTCAAAAAACAACAACAAAAATGTCTTAAGTCAGGCCAGGTGTAGTGGCTCACACCTTTAATCCTAGCAGTCTGGGAGGCCGAGGCAGGTGGATAACTCAAGGTCAGGAGTTCAAAACCAGCCTGAGCAAGAGTGAGACCCTGTCTTTACTAAAAATAGAAAGAAATTAATTGGCCAACTAAAAATACATAGAAAAAATTAGCCAGGCATGGTGGCGCATGCCTGTAGTCCCGGCTACTTGGGAGGCTGAGGCAGGAAGATCACTTGAGCCCAGGAGTTTGAGGTTGCTGTGAGCTAGGCTGACACCACAGCACTCTAGCCCGGGCAACAGAGTGAGACTCTGTCTCAAAAAAAAAAAAAGAAGAAGAAGAAGAAGTCTTAAGTCCTCCTATAAAAAACTCTATAACCCAACACCCTCACTGCAGAGGTACCTAGGGAGAACACGTCTTTCTCTCACTTCTCTGTGGCCCTAGCATACACTGCAGCCTCTGTACCTAAGTTCCACTAATCAGTGCTCTGGACTGATCAGCCTGGCGTTCAGTGCTTCTCTTAGGAACCCCAACCTGCCCCATCTCAGGCTAGTTTAGGGCACTCCCTTATGGAAACCATCCTGCTGCCACATTGGGGGCAATTCCAGCCACGGATGTGGGGGACAAAACAACTGGCATAGTCGTCAGGATTCCTACAAAATGGGATGGGACAGAGATAGACCAATGGGGAGATGGGGATGGCCTCGAGGTCTGTGTGGGGCACTGTGGCCCACTTGCCACGTGCCTACAGGCTGCCCCTCGAGCACGGAGACACTCCACAAGCCGCAGCAGTCTTGCCAGCCTGATGGAGGGTTCACAATTACAAATGGCCAGTAAGGAAGCCCGGCGCCTGGTGTGGGGGGTATAGACTGGCTTCTGCAGTGAGCAGCTGGATGGGCAACAGAGGCTGATCTGGCAGCCGGGAGCAAGGTGTGAAAGTGAGAGGAGGAATTACAGCAGGAAAGAGGCACGAGCCCCACCACCACTGTTAGTTACCAGCCAGACCAGAAAAGTCAAAAATAGTGGGGAGCCCACAGCCTCAGACCCGCCACCTGGGGAACTTTGGGTGGCCAGGCAGGGCTGGGGCACCCCCAGAGTGGACGCCGGCAGGAGGAACCCCTACCATGGCAGGAAGGCCAAAGCTCCCCTGAACCCAGGGCCACTCAGGGACAAGAAACATCCTACGGAAACTAATTTATGGATGCCCTCGAGATAACCGTGGGTAAGTCCAGTCCCTGAGTGAGGGAAGCCAGGTGGTATTACCCACTCAAGATGGGTGGTGGGCATCAAAAACACCACCTCCTGGGAGGACACAAAGAGACAACAGCTACTTTCAGAAACTAGAGAGGTGGGGATTCCGCATCCTGCAAAGCGACCTGTTGTGTGTGGGTGGAGCAAGAGCCTGAGAGGCCAACAACAGTTGATTTCCAGGGACTAGGTGTGGTCGTCTGCCACCCCAAACGTGCCTCCAACACTGGAAGGTCTTGCCCTTGCTTAGGCGCGTGGCGCGCTATCCTGGATTTCGCAGATGCTTTCTGCCGCAAACCTTCAGACCCGGAGGCCCAGGACATGTTAGCCTTCCCCTAGGAGGGCTGACCCTGGGATACTTACACAGCCCCACTACCTGCCATGGTTTAGTGGCCAGAGGCCTGTCCATGTTAAGTGATGTGCCTGGCATTCATGGGAATATTGCGTGGATAATATTCTGCTAACCTCTGCGGAAGTCAGTCTTCTGCGGGAGACTACCCAGAGTCCTAGAGTATCCACGAGGTGGAGGATGGGCTGGCAACCCACAGAAAGTCCCAGAGCCAGGGAGCCCCATGAGCTCCCTCTCAAACTCAGGGGCCTGGTCCGGGCAGGTGAGACTGGGGTTGGCCAGCAGCTGTGACTGACAAGATACAGGCACATCCAGGGCCCCAAAGGGTTAAAGAAGTATAAACCTTTGTGAATCTGCAATACTTGCAGTGTATGATATCCCAAGAAACATTACCCATTTCACAGGCTTCCTAATCCAAGATTGGGCATAAAGGGAGGGCTTTACATAGCAGTT